GGGTGGCGACGGGGCCGAGAAGGGGCCGTGAGGGGGCCGCGAAGGGGCCGCGAGGGGCGGTAAGGGGCCGCGAAGGGCCGTGAGAGGGGCCACGAAGGGCGGCGGAGGGGCCGCGAGGGAGCCGCGAAGGGGCCGCGAAGGGCCGTGAGAGGGGCCGCGAGGGGCCTCGAAGGGCGGCGACGTGGCCGCGAAGGGGCCGAGAGGGGCCTGAAGGGGCCGCGAAGGGCCGTGAGAGGGGCCGTGAGGGGCCGTGAGAGGGGTCGCTACGGGCCCGTAAGAGGGCGCGACGGGCCGCTAAGGGCAGGGGACGCGACGGGAGGGTAGGCACGCGCGGCGCGACTCGGGCAGGAGCGAAGCGCGCTTCGGGCAGGAAAAAAAAAAATCGAATTTCAGTGGTGGGCCTAGGAACGTTCCCACTAGGGAACCTGCTCTATACCATGTGAAGATTACGAGGGAATGAATGCACTAGGAAACAGGTGGGTACAAGTAGGAAAACCTAAAAGTGTTGTACCCTATATTGTCAACCCCACTACAGCCTACACAGACTATAGCATATAAGTTTGACATGTGGATCAGCAGCGGCGGCGCGCATGGTGTGTCGATCTGCAGTGCGTGATGCTGATGGCGAAGCTCGACGACTCTGAAATGGGGTGCGAGGGGAAAGGCAGAGGGACAAGCGGGACTGGGCAAGCACTCAGCGAGCAATACTCGCTAGACTTCGAACAAGGCAAGCATTAACAAGGCAAACAAGGCCGAATATAAGTGTTACGAAAGAGTCAGACTTAGGAAAAAAAATAAAACAAACAAACAGAAAAAATTGCGAGAGACAAGCGCAGATACTTCACGCTAAGCTTCGCCACAGGCGCCCTTACTAGAGTAATGGTCGACAGAATGAACTAGGGACTTCGGGCACTTTGACTCGGCGACTGAACTACCTTTAGTCTTCGCGGCTGCGGGAATGACGAAGAACTGAGAGCTGACTTCCCTAGTAACAGATCGTCGAACAGATATAAGGAGAGGTGGGTTCTGTGCTTGTGAAAAGAAGCGAGACAAACGAACCAGCAGATAGACCTCACCTCACCCACCTGTGAAAACCTGGCGACAAAACCGCCCACTGACGTACCAGCGAGGCAATCGCCAGCGTCGCGTCGAACTGCTGATTCACCTGTGGCAGAGCAAGCTCCCTAGCAGATTCCAATCAACAGCGTTGTCACAAGCGTGAGCAACGATTGGACACTAAAACATTTTTCGGCGTACAGCGACGCACTGCTCAGTCCTTCCGAGTGGGGTTTAGTATTTTTCTGGCCCGCGGTCAGCTTGATGACTCATGCGACTGCCAGCGTACAATCGCGCAGGTGTGTTTTGCTGCTGCCAACTCGACAAACATGAAATTTGTTACAGCTCGGCAATTTCACAAGCCCCGTCAGCAACATCGCTATACACATTATTCATACCGAAGACCCACGCACTTACTGCTCATGTTTCAACCGTGGCCCAATTTCGGAAGTCAAAAATGAAAAAACAGACTGTCACAAATAATAACAAACAAAGGCGATAACTGATCAAAGGCAACAAGAAGCCAATGGATGGTGAGCTTTATGACTACATTGTCCATAGATTTCGAAAAGAACACAGATAAGAAATAAAGTGCACCTCAACCTTCACACATTGGAATTGTTACAATCCCAAGTGGAACTTAGCGAAGGATCGCTCAGGGTTGATCGCAGAGTAGTGTTGCAGCGAGAGTTTGAATCTTAGGTCAGAGTGAATGTAAATTACTGAGTTAATATAAGCATGCATACACCGGGTTTATATAAGAATACAGGGGAATACGAAAAGGCCTAGACTAGCCATGTACTCTAAGTGGTACATTCCCTTATTACATCAAAATTCAAACCGTGCGGCGCGGGAACTCGTTTCAAACCTGCTCCCGCTCTTTTCACTTCAAATGTTTCTGCCTGCATCGGTCTTGGTCAGACGGTTGCTGCGTCGCTTCAACTCTTCTGACTCCTCGACTTCGTACTCGGTAGAGTCGGCTCCTGCAGCATACAAGAATACCTTCTCCTGTAATTTCATATCGCAACAGGAATTATGTATGTATATAATTCATCTTGGCGCAGTAACATCTTGCGCACAGGGATATCCTTGCACAGATTCGGCCAGCGAACGCACAAACATGCGCTACATGCTGCGTAGTTGTGCAAACGACCTCAAACCAGTTCCTATGGCTAGAAAATAGGATGTAGTAGGGAATCGTGTGAAGAAATAGTGCTAAAAAAGGCATCCAGACGTTGGCGCAGTGACATGTTGCGCACAGGCCTATCCTTGCACAGTTTCAGGCGAGCAAACGCACAAACATGCGCCACGTGCTGCGTAGTTGTGCTAACGAGGTCAAACCAGTTCCTATGGCTAGGTAATAGGATGTAGTAGAGAACTATGTGAAGAAATAGTGCTAAAAACGGCATTTAGACGTCGGCGCAGTGACATGTTGCGCACAGGCCTATCCTTGGACAGATCCGGGCCAGCAAACGTTCAAACATGCGCCACGTGCTGCGTAGTTGTGCTAACGATGTCAAACCAGTTCCTATGGCTAGTAAATAGGATGTAGTAGAGAACTGTGTGAAGAAATAGTGCTAAAAAAGGCTTTTAGATGTCGGCGCAGTGACATGTTGCGCACAGGCCTATCCTTGCACAGATTTGGGCCAACGAACGCACAAACATGCGCCACGTGCTGCGTAGTTGTGCTAACGAGGTTAAACCAGTTCCTATGGCTAGGTAATAGGATATAGTAGAGATCTGTGTGAAGAAATAGTCCTAAAAACGGCATTTAGACGTCGGCGCAGTAACATTTTGTGCACAGGCCTATCCTTGCACAGATTCGGGCCAGCGAACGCACAAGCATGCGCTACATGCTGCGTAGTTGTGCAAACGACTTCAAACCAGTTCCTATGGCTAGAAAATAGGATGTAGTAGGGAACTGTGTGAAAAAAAAGTGCTAAAAAAGGCATCCAGACGTTGACGCAGTGACATGTTGCGCACAGGCCTATCCTTGCACAGTTTCAGGCGAGCAAACGCACAAACATGCGCCACGTGCTGCGTAGTTGTGCTAACGAGGTCAAACCGGTTCCTATTTTTAGGTTATAGGATGTATTTGAGAACTATGTGAAGAAATTGTGGTAAAGAATGCATTTAGACGTTGGCGCAGTGACATGTTGCGCGCAGGCCTATCCTTGCACAGATCCGGGCCAGCGAACGCTCAAACATGCGCCACGTGCTGCGTAGTTGTGCTAACGAGGTCAAACCAGTTCCTATGGCTAGTTAATAGGATATAGTAGAGAACTGTGTGAAGAAATAGTGCTAAAAAATGCTTTTAGACGTCGGCCCAGTGACATGTTGCGCAGAGGCCTATCCTTGCACAGATTCGGGCCAGCGAACGCACAAACATGCGCCACGTGCTGCGTAGTTGTGCTAACGAGGTCAAACCAGTTCCTATTTTTAGGTAATAGGATGTAGTAGAGAACTGTGTGAAGAAATTGTGGTAAAAAAATCATTTAGACGTTGGCGCAGTGACATGTTGCGCACAGGCCTATCCTTGCACAGATTCGGGCCAGCGAACGCACAAACATGCGCCACGTGCTATGTAGTTGTGCTAACGAGGTCAAACCAGTCCCTATGGCTAGGTAATAGGATGTAGTAGAGAACTGTGTGAAGAAATAGTGCTAAAAACGGCATTTAGACGTCGGCGCAGTGACATGTTGCGCACAGGCCTATCCTTGCACAGATTTGGGCCAGCGAACGCACAAACATGCGCCACGTGCTGCATAGTTGTGCGACCGACCTCAGACCAGTTCCAATAGCTAGGGAAGTAGTAGGGAACTGTGTGAAAAAATAGTGCTAAAAAAGGCATCCAGACGTTGGCGCAGTGACATGTTGCGCACAGGCCTATCCTTGCACAATTTCAGGCGAGCAAACGCACAAACATGCGCTACGTGCTGCGTAGTTGTGCTAACGAGGTCAAACCAGTTCCTATTTTTAGGTAATAGGATGTAGTAGAGAACTGTGCGAAGAAATTGTGGTAAAAAATGCATTTAGACGTTGGCGCAGTGACATGTTGCGCACAGGCCTATCATTGCACAGATTCGGGCCAGCGAACGCACAAACATGCGCCACGTGCTGCGTAGTTGTGCTAACGAGGTCAAACCAGTTCCTAAGGCTAGGTAATCCGATGTAGTAAGGAACTCTGTGAAGAAATAGTGCTAATCAAGGCATTTAGACGTTGGCGCAGTGACATTCACTAATCATCTATACCGTACCAACATTAGAGCACTCTTATAGAATACAACGGAGCTCATTTTACAGTAAATATTTTCATACAGTGTATAAATATGAGTCAATGCCAACACATAAATTTCAGTGTGTACACTAGCTGTTAACATGTATACATTTTCCACTCTTAATATATTCTTCAGAGCACAACAATAGCTATAAACATATATGTTTCACTTGCACATCAGGGAAAATTTTACTATCGAATGCAAATGTCTGAAATATCCCTAAACAGGTATATGATTCATTATTCAGCATATATAAACTAGAGCAGGTATATGATTCATCAGTCAATGCAATATTTAGGTCCAGTGTACTAATATTGCACTTTATCCAATGCCAACACACCAATCTTGGGCGAAATCCATAGCCAATGGGACACGAAAGCCTTGTTCCAGGCCTTCCTTATCAGTACCGAAGCTGTTTTGTGCCACCGAAGCTGCCACCCTAACATGCTCAACCACTCGAGTGATTTCCGAAGCTGCCAACCTGGTTGCCCAAGAATTTGGGAGAATTCCGTAGCTGCCTTGGCCGATTTCGCTGAGACGCGACGCGTCGAAAGTAACTTTCCCCACTCAGCTCAAACTGCTACCCCAGACATACCCCCCGAAAGCATACCTTTCGGGGCCCCCCAAATTTGGGATGTCAACGGCACGGTGGGGTCGCTGCGGATCATGTGGAACGTGAATGACGGCGCGCCGGCGGAACACCAGGTGTGCGGCAAGGTGGTGTTCTGGGACCGGCCGGACTGCTCCGGGACCGGAGTGGTGTTTGAGATTCCCGGCAAGTGGACGGCCGCCAAGCCCACCAACTACAAATACGCCACCACCAGCGTCAAGTGAGTCCCCGTGACACCAACTGACCCGCTCGGTGTACGACGTTCTTGCAGGGTTTAGGGTGATCTCACTCGTTGCCTGCGTTGCGTTGACCGTGAACCGTGACCCTGCTGTGTTGACTGCAGCACTGACCGTGACCCTGCTGTGTTGACTGCAGCACTGACTGTGACCCTGCTGTGTTGACTGCAGCACTGACCGTGACCCTGCTGTGTTGACTGCAGCACTGACCGTGACCCTGCTGTGTTGACTGCAGCACCTGACTGTGACCCTGCTGTGTTGACTGCAGCACTGACCGTGACCCTGCTGTGTTGACTGCAGCACTGACCGTGACCCTGCTGTGTTGACTGCAGCACTGACCGTGACCCTGCTGTGTTTACTGCAGCACTGACCGTGACCCTGCTGTGTTGACTGCAGCAGTGACCGTGACCCTGCTGTGTCGACTGCAGCACTGACCGTGACTCCGCGTGTGCTGCCTGCTTGCACCGAGCGCCCTGTGCAGGATTGCAGCCGGCGTGGTGGCCACGACCCGGTCCTTCTCGTGTCTCACGGCCATGAAGCCGCCCGGCGTGCCCAACTTCTGCTCCACGGCGTCCTGCCCCTATAACTCCGTGTGCTCCATGCCCAACAACTTCACCGCGCTCTGCACGTGCAACTATGGATTCACCATGGTTCCCGAGGGCTACTGCGTTGGTGAGTCATTGTCTGCTCCAGTCAAGGAGAGTCATTGTCTGCTCCAGTCAAGGAGAGTCATTGTCTGCTCCAGTCAAGGAGAGTCATTGTCTGCTCCAGTCAAGGAGATTCATTGTCTGCTCCGATATGGGGCACGAGTCGTGGAGTGGAGCGGGTCATGCACTTCCATCCCGCCTCTCTCTGCCCTCTCTCTGCCCTCTCTCTGCCTCTCTCTGCCTCTCTCTGCCCTCTCTCTGCCCTCTCTCTGCCCTCTCTATGCCCTCTCTCTGCCCTCTCTCTGCCCTCTCTCTGCCCTCTCTCTGCCCTCTCTCTGCCCTCTCTCTGCCCTCTCTCTGCCCTCTCTCTGCCCTCTCTCTGCCCTCTCTCTGCCTCTCTCTGCCCTCTCTCTGCCCTCTCTCTGCCCTCTCTCTGCCCTCTCTCTGCCCCCTCTCTGCCGTTTCTCCCACTCACTTGCCCGCTCTCTTCCGTCCAACATCACATGCACTAGGGCTTCGGGCTTGCACACTCCTGATAATACCATGTTTCGATTCCTCCGCTGTTTCCCTCCTTCGATTGACAGCTAAAAAGATTCCGCCTCAGCTCCCATCCTTGTCGCTCCCTTTCCTCCCCATTGCTCTCCCCTCCCTCCCCTCCCCCCCCTCCCCCCTTCTTGCGTGGGCCTTGCCAGGTCACTGTAACGTTTCATTCAATCACTTTCCCAACTCGCTCCTTCTCCCTTCGCTCCCTCTCCCATCACTCTCTATCCCATAACTCTGGCCCCCATCTCTGTTGTTTCCTGACCTTGGTATTTACAGCACCCTCAAACCACGCCGGCGACGCAATCACTTGGACGGGCCAAGACATGAGAAACCGGTGGTCCCTAAACACTCGCATTCAATCCGCCCAATCCGTTCTTACAATGCAGAGGCATGCTCTATCAAGGACTGTGGCACGGGTGGCACTTGCTACATTCTATCAAACGGCAATGCGCATTGCGTTTGCAATCAAGGCTACGAGATGGATGCATCGGGGAGTTGCATCGGTATGTGTGCTTTGGTCTCTCTCTCTCTCTCTGTTTCTTGCTCTCCCACGTCAATCACACCCGTTTTTACCTATCCCTTGTCCACAAGACTCACGAATCCCACGTCTTCTGTTGTTCCCTTATCCTGCAGGACAAGGCCAATGCAAGGACTGCCTTCAGAGTACCGCGGGCAGCAGCTCTCTAGCATACGCTTACTGCCCACCCGGCCTCACCATGCTCGATGGTGCTTGCCTGCCCGGTGGGTACAGTCGTTTCCGTGGGCTGTGCATGCTTTAACCCATGTGATGCGATCAACAAGGTAGGGTGGTTTTGGTGCGGTTGGTGTTTCTCCATGTTATGAGGGAGGGAAACAGCCAGTGCTCCCCTCTTACTTGTGCCATACCGTTCTGCGTGATCCAATCAGCACTCTTCATCACTCCCCTCCGCCCAATCACCTCGCAGGCGTTGTTACTGACGTGGCAGACATCTCCATCAGCATGTACTTCTCTCCCAACTTCGGCACAACAAGTCCGCCTTATGTCTCCTCGCTCCCTCTATTTCTCGCTCCCTCCATTTCTCGCTCCCTCGCTCCCTCTATTTCTCGCTCCCTCCATTTCTCGCTCCCTTGCTCCCTCTAGTTCTCGCTCCCTCTATTTCTTGCTCCCTCTATTTCTCGCTCTCTCTATTTCTTGTTCCCACTATTCTCACTCCCTCTATTTTTCGTTCCCTCATATTCTCGCTCCCTCTATTTCTTGCTCCTGCTATTTCTCGCTCCCTCTATTTCTCGCTCCCGCTATTTTTCGCTCCCTCTACTTCTCGCTCCCTCTATTTCTCGCTCCCGCGATTTTTCGCTCCCTCTATTTCTCGCTCCCTCTATTTCTCTTGCTGCGTCTCTCGCTCTAACGGTTGGTGTTTATCTTTAAGTCTGCCTCTGTGCAGCCGCCCTCCAGTGCTATGGCTTTTCGCCATCAGTCCTCTTCATATGCATATGGTCAGCTATTTACGTACTTACAGTACTTGCTTTTCTCTCAACAGAACTCCTACTTCTTGGGGGATCCCGTCTTTCAAGTGCGAGCTATGGTAACTTGGAGGTTCTGGCAGGAAAGACTTAAAATTTCTTGCCAACAAAGAGTAGAAAGCAGTGAAGGTCAAGTCCAGCTGCATCGAAAGACGTGTCTTGGATGGTCTAAACTCGCATCTGAAGCTTTCTGGCAGCAAGTAGATTTCTACATCTCTTCCTGCCTCTCTCTTCTTCCCTTTCCCTCTCCCTGCTCCTCTTGCTATAACTGCCCTCCTCTGACCGTTCCCTCAGTTTGATGTACAATGAAATACCGTATTGTTTCTTTCATTGTGGCAAGAATAGTACCGTATGCGCCCGGATATAAGATAGTGTTGAATAGTAGACAGGGGTTGACTATTATCCGGGTGTCTCTTATAAACAGGCTAGCTTCATTATAAGACACCTATTTGTGTGTACGAGATAAGACATACCTATGTGTCTTATAATCGAAAGTGCAATATATTATAGTGAAATTTGAAATACCGCGTACATTTGTTACCTTGCGACACACGAATTCTGCCACGTGCTGACTCACGTACTACCAAATTTGCCTCTTCAAGTATTCTCCATGACGTGGCATCCCGAACAGTGGTTGCCGAAGTGGCACCTTCGCAACATCCACTCTCATAATGAGAAACTCTTTTCCAGATGTGTGAAAATATTTCTAAGTAGTTTAAAAAGTTTCCATTTGTAAGACTTGTAAGACACCCAAAACCTTTCCAAATACAAGATAACCCAAGCATTTTGGGAAAGGGGCTGGCTAAACAGCTCAAGTTGGGCCTCCCCGAGATGCAGGTAGAGCGGGGGATTCTGCTGATGACCGCCGAAGGGGGGGACCCGAAGTGGATGCCCAGCACTAGAAAGTCCGTAGAAATCATGTTGCTGCCGGGCACGGAGAAGGAGTGCTGCATTCGGTTGACGTGCGGGATTTCGCAGTCAGAGGACTACGATGTCCTGGTAGGCATGGAGCTGTTGTACAAGGTGGGGGCTGAGAAGAAACGAGGAATGAATGACTAAGGGAAAGTTGGGTACAAATGTAAACCCTAGAAAAACTGTACCCCATATTAGCTACCCCACTATAGCCTACAGTAGCTATGTCATATAAATCTGACACACCCCCATAGGCAAAGTGGGGGAGAACAAGGGGTCACAAGACCAGTCAAGCAAAGCAAAGCAAGCTCAGGGTGGATCACAAAGTCACCACACATTCCGAGCACAAGTTCAAGGCCACAAGGCCAGTTCACATGCAGGATTACATATATATATAAGGCTAGACAAGCAAGAGCAGGTGTATATATATATGCAACAGTACAAACAAGGTCAAGGGGTGAGCAAGTGAGGCAAGGTAGGCACAAGACCCAGCTGAGTACAGAAGCGCTGATGATCACAAGGCGCAAGTGCCTTGGTGAAGATATCAGCAGTGTTGGCCTGAGAGGCCACGTACGCAAGCCGCAGCTGACCACGCTGCTGTAGCTCACGAGCAAGGAAGTAGCGGAGAGCAATGTGCTTCGTTCTGTGCTCCAGTCTCTGCTCTCGACACAAGGCCAGCATGGCCTTGTTGTCTACGTACAGCACTGGAGGAGAACGAGGCGGCTCTCCGAGGTCAGTCAGCAGGTAGGTGAGCCAGCGAAGCTCCTGTGCAGCCATGGCCCCGGCGTAGATCTCAGCCTCACAACTGGAGCCGAGAACAGAAGACGAGCGGGTAGCCCGCCACGAAACAGAGCCGGAACCAAGGCTGAAGGTGTAACCCTGTGACGACCGCTGCGTAGCCTGGTCGTCAGCCCAAGAAGCGTCTGCGTGCCCAGTGAGGACCACTGGACTCTGCCCTCCAAGCACAAGCCCCATGCCCGACGTACTGCACAAGTAACGCAACACCCTCTTCGCTGCAGCCATGTGCTCCGGTCTGTGTCTCCCAGGAGCAACATAGCGTGCGAGAATGCTAAGAGGGTATGCGAGGTCAGGTCGTGTGCAGGTCATCAGGTACATGAGGCAGCCAACAAGCTCTGGGTACGGGCCACTCGACTCTACGGACTCATCCGAAGGCAGAGCTGAGAGCGAGTGGCGAGTAGGCAGAGGAGTGGCCTGAGGCGAGGAGTACGTGAAGCCGAAGCGCTGAAGGACCTGCTGCACCATGTGTGACTGAGTCAGGGTAATGGTGCGGCGTGCTCTGTCCCGGGTGATCTGCAAGCCAAGGTAGCTGCGAAGGTACTGCTGATGCCGACGCCACTGTTCGCTCACAGTGGGCCACACACGATGCTGCTGCACGTCTAGCTGTGCGTCGCCACCTGCCTACCTCTGAGCGTGCGCACTTTAGCCAGTACGGAAGATGCTCTATCGAGTGCAGTACTGGGATCCGGAGAGCTCAGTGGGGACATTGCCGGTTCGCTTCATCAAGCAGGAGTCGAGAGCAGCGTACCGCGCGGAAGAAGCAGACCTGTCTCACGAATTGGACGATTGGACTTGGCAGGAGTACGCGGCAGAGGGGACGAAGCGGATCGAACAAGCGGAGACGGGCCAACCGACGCCTGACTTGCGAGACCGAGTTACCAGGACATGGTGTCTCGAGGGAGCGATCGGTATCCTGGAGCTCTTCGGAGGCATAGGGTCTGGGTTGGCAGCCGCACTGAAGGCCGGCTGTTGCGTGCGGAAGTGGGTCCACGTGGAGAAGGACCCGGTCGTGAGGAAGATGGCCTACCACCACGCTCTGAAACTGCTCGAGGAGTACCCGCAGCAGTTCACGATTTCGGCAATCCACATGGAGGGAGAGGATGGGGTTCATGATGTGCGCGATATCACCCGACCCTGGCTGGAGGAATGTGGGCCGATAGACCTGGTGGTTGCGGGGTGGGAGTGCCAAGGGTACTCTAGGGCAGGAGAAGGGAGGGGAATGGAAGACCCGCGGGGGGCTTCCTTCCGAGACTTGGAGGGAGTGTTGAAGATGCTCCAGCAGTTGGGCCGGGAGTTCGTCTACGTGCTGGAGAACGTAGATATGGCCGACGACCGAAGGGAACCGGTGCGGCTCGCCTTCGACGAGATCCAGACGGTGCTGGGGAGGGGCGTGGCGGCAGACGCGGCGCAGCTGGGATCGCGGGCTCATCGTCCTCGGCGCTACTGGCAGAATGGCGTGTCGGACGCGGTTCTGCGGTATTCCTTGGCGCAGATGCAGCGGCCACACCCCCGGCTGGTCAAGGATATCCTAGGCCCGAACTGAGTCCCCGCGCCAGTAGCTACCGAGGATCATCCGTCCCAATATCAATGCAACGTGCCCGGAGAGCCCAGACGAGCGTGGCCGACGCTGGTCTCGTTTGCCGAAGCTAGGGGCTTCAAGATAGATGGGAATCTGCCGGGACCCAGGATGGTATATGACTCACGGACGCGGAAGTGGGAGGCGCCGACGGCAGAAGAGAGAGAGTTGGCAATGGGACACAAATGGGGAGCCACGGCCCACCCGGACGTGACGGAGGCCCAGAGGTGCACTGCATTGGGGAGAGCCATGGATTTGAACGCCATGACATGGATCCTAGAGACGATTCGGATGCACCTGAAGACGAAGGCGGTGCAGAGAGAATTAGACGGGAGCTTGAGGTACCAAGACGAGAGAGAAGCCGCCTGGAGGAGGCAGCAGCTGGACAGCATCGAGGAGCAGCGGAACGCTCGGATTCGGGAAGGATGGACCTTCATGGCGGTGGA